TCAGAGGAGGTTCCTCAGCTTCCTTTTCATTTTCAATCTAACGAATAACTGCAAGGGGCTAGTCCTCTGTTTCTTTCCTTTTAACAGCCTCAGCTCTCTTCTTTTCCTCATCAATTAAAGGAAAACTGTCGAAAGAAGGGAGTGACAAATCCATAAGATCAGCAAATGCAGCGCTAGAAACAAGTTCCTTGAGATTAGATGAAGAAAGAAGGTCTTCTACAAAAGGGGGGTCGTTCCAAACTTGTTCCTTGAGGAAAGCAAGCCTCTTTTTGGCTACAAAAGAGGGGAACGTTGCTGAAAAAACACCAAGAAATTCATAAGTATGACGGAAAAGTAAAACTTGACATGGGAAGTAGCCGAAGCATTTTTTATGAAAAGAAGGAAAATTTTCCATACCTAATATCCCAAATTTGCGAGGGATGGGAAGTTTGTTCGATTGAGACACAAACCAATTCCCTTTAACAATAATCGTTCTTTCTTTCCATCTCTTCTCGAAAGTGGGGAGGTCTGTACATATCCTCTGCCGAAGTGAGGAAGTAAGATAATAGTGGCCAAGCTAGGTCTGATGTTTGGAAATAAAATAGGTGATCAATAGGTTAGCGAGAGTCAAGTCAAGACTCTCTAGCCTTCGGCGAACAAGAAGAGCCGAGATTATACGAAAAAGTTAGGGTTTACTTAAAGAGGAGCGATACCTAACTTATTGAAGACCAGGTGGTAAAAGGGGTGAAGGGGAAAATGAAGAGCATGAAGGTGCCTAACGGACAAAAGTAATTCATTCTCTCCGACACCCTCACCTGAACTGAAATCAGCGTTTTTCGGGTATTCAACAATTTCCACTCCCTCGGGGATTTCATATTCCTCCATTACCTCGTCAATGGTGAACTCGATATGCCGGACGAACAAAATCATTTCTCTTTCCTTTTTTGAGAAGATACTAACTGATCCAGAAGTGGATACTTCTGCTTGTGGTGAGGAATTGCCTATTCGCACAGCAAATTCATTCGCAGACTCAAGAGGGATGAGAACCCTATGAGGAGGAACTTTAAGAAGAATAGGAGATGACGATGGTGTGGATTCGGAGTCCATAATCTCTATGTGGTCGTGGGTGGAGGAAGTGCTCATGATACGAAATCAGAAAGATGGATGAAGAACTAACCTAGTATCACAATGAAACAGTGAACGCAGTGAAGGCAAGAGCAAGCTTTGAGGAAGTCTTTTGGTCAAAATGTCAATGGTCACTTCTTAAACTGCCTCTTGCAAAAGTTGGCAACCCTGCAAAATCAATTCCCTTCTAACTAGGAGCCGTAGTTCAATTTAGGAGGGAATTGGGGGCAAAGTGTAGAGGGAAAAATCATCCTCCAATAAGAAGCCTCCACGTCGTTAAAGCAAGGTGTTATCTCAATAAATTTCCTCCGGCCCATCAAAGCCCAATTGAGAACAAGCCTGTATAAAGTCACTATCGACCCATTTAATTATAATCCGAGTCTAGTTCAATTAATCAAGTCCTACATGGTAAAGAATCCTACATAGAAAGAAGCTCTGCATGGGAAATGTCTTGCATAGAAAGAATCGTATAAGGAAAGAACTTTGTAAATAAAGAATGATATATGGAATGAATTGGAGGACAAACATAGCGAATACTACTATAATTCCACCATCTTTTTGTATATAAATAGAGGCATGGACCTCCAATAAAGAGATAGAGCAATATAAACTTTTCTCTGAATTATTGTTCTGATTATTGTTCTTTTATTTTGAGTGAGTCGAATTCATTCTTTTAACTTTTTAGTTAAGCGAATTTTTACACCTACAATTACCATTTGGGTGTCTTTGGTAACTGTATCAAATTTTGAGGGAGTGAGTATCTTTATCCTAAAATAGACTAAGTTTCATCTGTGTGTCTTTTTGACAAACTTCAAAAAATTTTGCTATACTTTACCCTTTTATTTAAAAGGGTGTGCTTGATCATTTATTTAAAGATATCCAATACAAGTATGATTTGTACGAGTAATGGGACTTTGTTTGGATGGTTTCCAAATCATGTTTATTAATAGTCCCTTGTAAGTGATGGGATTTATTTCGATGGTTTCTAAATCATGTTTATTAATAGTCCTTTTTTTTTTTGGGATCATTACAAGCTCGCAAGGTTGATATTTTTTGAGGATGAAAAGGTTATATTTAGCCATTTCAAGATACAGCAAAGTTTAAAATAATAATAATAATAATTTTTTCTCATATTTACATATTTAAATAAAAAAATTATACATAATATATATACCGGTTTTTTTTAAGTGACAACGGAATCAACGTTTTTAATGGAGGGAGGGGCTTTAAAATAAAAATAATATTCCCTCATATTTTCATCCACAAATGAAATAAAACTCAAGGATTTTCCGAAGTGATCAGAAATCAAAGCACTGTTTGTTACCTTCTCATATTTGATAGATAGAATTCAGGAGAAAAACATGAAGATAGCACATGCGTAGTACAAAGGACAGACATTAGACAACCCTATTTATGGAGACCCTAAAATAAGCCCTTTTTACATCTAGCTCCTACCTGCAGTCTAGCCCCCACCACCTTAACGAAGGATTTGAAGAATCAAATCCAAACCTTATAAACATGAAGCAGGTCGTTGGATTAAATCACAAACTACCAATCTTGATGTTGACATGGCTATAAAAAGAAAGCCAGTACATAGTACTGGTCCCGCCTATACTTTATAATGTCAAGAGAGATTAGAAACTTGCATATTTAGCATACTAATTCAGTAATTAATAATAGAATTTATTGCAATAAAAAATGCACCAAAAAATCTGTATATGGTTTTAATATATAAAATATTAAGACAATCGTGCATATTTTTTAATTTAACCCTAATGGTCAAATACTGCAAAACAGCCGCAACATGTGAATTTGAGATCAAATTTCTACAATATAGAGCAAAAATATGGAGTATTCAACAATCAATGCCTCATCCAGTGCTAAAAAAATGCTGATATGCATTATTAGCAATGCAAATGCAATATGCATTATGTATAAGACAATAGTAATTTAAATGACAAAGTAGTGAAATCCATCAACCATGGCATTAACTTAACAACCACCAACAGAAGCCACAAACTTTAAAGATCCTGAGCTCTCACTTTCAATTGACCATCAAAACACTTGGGCACAGAACCCCTTCACTAAATAAATGTCCCACTGAAGAAACATGGAAGGTGCATACGCGGAAATTTTCAGTCTCTGTCCTCTTGTTATATTTTCTAAAAGTTCAGGTAAGGATGGGCGTCCCACAGAGACAATACATTGCTATTTGGAACACAAAGAGCGTAGATGAAGGTTGAACTTAGTGTATCCATATGGGAGACCTAGTTAATTAGTTTTTTATTTTGGTCATCACCTTAAAACAAACTCTAGTCATAGGCCATAAAAGTTCAAAGAAAAGCAAATTTAAAGATTTTTTATTTTTTTAAAAAAATTAGTAGGAACTTGAGACCTTGCACAATCCTGTTTCAAGCCACATTGAGCCTTAATATGTACTATTTTAAAATTTCTTGAATTTTTTGATAATTCACAATTGTCTCAAGTAAATTCGAGATTTTGTTGTGATAAGTGCCATATGTGGAGCATTCATGATTTCCATACTCACATAAAGACATCAAATTAGAATATCATTTTGTTAATTAGATGCAACCTGGAAAGCTAATTAAACAATACATAACTACTAATGATCTACTTAATCTCACCATATCTACTTCCCAAAATTATGCTGTTATTTCAAAATAATAATAATAATAATAATTATTATTATTATTATGATAAGTAATTTCAAATCAAGTATAGATTCATTCTGTAAAGAAAGTTCACAAAAAAGAATTGCATTCTCAACATAATAAGCAAGGAACTACAAAAGTAGACATGCTAATGAAGGTTCAAGTAAACATTATGTCCCCTTTTAATTCGTATTTATTCTATTGGGACTATGTTATCATTCTTTCAAAAACATAGTAAACTAGAGTGAGGTTTTCTATGACTATAGGCAACCAAGAAAATGATTGCCCACAAAGTAAAAGCATAGCTCGAGTGACAATGTTGAGATAAATAGGTTTAAGCACACAAATGGACAACATGACAATTTCATTTAGAGAAGTCAAAGAAGCACAAACAGATAAGAATAAGGAAGAAATGATTTAGTTGAAGTTGAAAACATTACAAGCAAAGGGAGGGGGGAGGGGCAAAGATAATTCTGATTGACTAAAAGTATAAGATATAGATTGCTAAAAAGGATTCATGTGCCCAGCCTAATTAGTATTATCAAAACTTTGTCAAGTTGAGTTCAATTGAATGCCCTCACTCTCTTTTAGTTTTCAAAATATATAATACAAATTATTGTCTGTTGCACCAAAGATCAAGCCATATATTCTATCTTGCCTGTATAGTTGTATGAACACGTTACTACTATAGGCGAATCAAATTTTCTCTTCTACAGTTAAGACAGAAGCAAAACAGTCCTCTATGTTCTCCTAAATTACCAAACCCCACAACTAGAAGTAAAATGCATCAATCACTGCCTCATTCTAAAAAAAAGAAGGATATTAACTATATTAAATAAACATAACATATGTAATAAAAGTTTTTTTTTAAAAAAAAAAAAAACCCACAAAATATCTTGAAGAGCATGCAAAACAATGTGTTTTACTCTTCAACATTTCTTCTAGTTTATTTAGACAAAATGAAACAAGAAGGTGTGAGCTAAAGTTAATTATAAAAGGAAAGCACCGACACAAATCTAAAGCTTTCTAACATAATAAAAATACTAATAATGAAAGAAAACTGTGACAAATACAAGGAAAATTCACAATCCCAATCAAGATCAAGGGCGAGGGGATTAAGGACAGAATGGCATCTGAGTGCAAGACCACACTTAATGTATCTCCTTGCTCGGTAATGCAAAACAAATAAGTAGACACCATCCACAATTATATATGACGGGGCAATAAGAAAATTTTCAATTACATAAGCAACACCAAGTCCCTTTATCCTGAATTAAAAACAGCTTATTCAATCCTGGTACAGTGACAAATCTCAGAAAACATTGCACAACTAATTACACTACTACATAAATAATAGCACAAAATTAATGCTGATCATCAATCTCAGTGACTATACGAATAATAATAGTGCTGTGATAAAATAACGAGTTTATAGCTGATTTAAAAAACACATTTCGAGTGTAATCACCTGCATTAGTGTTTGACATTCTCCAAGTACCACTTATAGGTATCAACAAGCCCATCCCGAAGTGATACCTTCGGGATCCATCCCAATCCTGCAAGTTTTGAGCTATCCATGAGCTTCCTCGGCGTCCCATCCGGCTTCGAAGTATCCCATACAAGCTGCCCCTCAAACCCTACCACTTCCTTCACTAGCTCAGCAAGCTCCTTAATTGTCACCTCCTTTCCACTCCCCACATTCACATGACCCAACCCACTATACTTCTCCAACAAATACACCACAGCATCGGCTAAATCATCGACGTGCAAGAACTCTCGCAATGGCGACCCTGTCCCCCACACCACCACCTCCTTCGCTCCAGAAACCTTGGCCTCGTGAAACCGCCGCATCAATGCCGGCAACACATGCGAATTCTCGGGGTGAAAGTTATCATTGGGGCCGTATAAGTTGGTGGGCATAGCAGAAATTGCATCCCAATTGTACTGGATTCGATACGCTTGACACATTTTGATGCCAGCGATCTTTGCAACAGCATACCATTCATTGGTGGGCTCTAATGGACCCGTTAACAGAGCGTCTTCTGGGATCGGTTGGGGTGCGAATTTGGGGTAAATGCAAGAGGAACCTAAAAAGATGATCTTTTTGGCCCCGTGGCGATACGCTGAGTCGATGACATTGGTTTGGATTTGAAGGTTGATGGAGATGAAATCGGCAGGGTAAGTGTTGTTGGCATGAATGCCGCCGACCTTGGCGGCGGCAAGGACGACGAATTGGGGCTTCTCGGAGTGGAAGAAGGCGTCGACGTCGGATTGGCGGGTGAGGTCGAGTTCAGAGTGGGATCGGAGGAGTAGGTTGGCGTAGCCGAGGAGGCGGAGCTTCCGGACAATGGCGGATCCGACAAGGCCGCGGTGTCCGGCGACGAAAATCTTGTCGGATTTGTCCAATGTGATGGGATCTGCTAAAGCGAGAAAATTAGAGTTAGGGTTTGCAGAAATTAAGCGAAAAGACAAATGGGGAGATCGGAATTTTCAGATCTACAACATCAAGCTAGAGAGAGAGTTTACCATTGTTGGGCCCTCCCATTTCTTTGATTTTGTTCGCGTGGGAGGGGGAGAGAGACAGAGAGGCAATTGCTGCTTCAAGCTATTTAACTGCCAAGCCATGAAGCTTCAAAGAGGTTTTTTTTTTTTTTTTTTTTTTTTTTTCTCTTTTTGGGCTGGATAAATTGGGCTATATCGAAGTGGTGTTCCAGAGAGACTGAAGCCCACTGGGCTTCTAACGACTGCTTTCAACACTCTCAACTTCAAGGCTGCTTCGTCAAAGATTCAAGTTGGGCCTTTTTGGACCTTCTCAAGCCTAATCTATGTTTTGTTAGTTTAGACTTAGGTTCTACCCAATGACAATCCTACAATAAAACCTTTTTACATGGAAAAGCTAGGAATTTCATTTTGGTTTTTATTTCATGACGTCATCTTTTTTTATACTTTTCTCGTAGTGGATTGTTCATGGTTGAACTAGATCCCTTAGTTTTTCCCTTTCTAGAGTTTTTCACGTAAAAAGTTGACATGTGTAATGTTTCATATTGCCTGAGGGGGAAAGTTTTTGGCACTTATAAGGAGGGATACCTCCTACACGTGTGTACATATTTTGAAAAATATAAGTACTTAAAATATGCAAAGCAGATAGTATATACAGAGTGTGGGACGGGTCCTAACATATGATATTAGAGTCAATCCCCATTTCAAAGTGGAAGAAGTGTGCATAAGACCATGAGGGTCACACAAGCGAGGATGCTAGGTCCCAAAGGAGTCATTGTGAAGTCTCACATCCTCGGGTGATTTTGAAGTCTCCTTCAGTTTTGTAAATATATAACTGCAGGAGATAACTGAGAAGAGCACCCTGAGCAGGTTCATCGCATATTCCTTTGGAGGACTTACAGAAACACTTCAAATACACTTTGCTTGATTCTATTATCTTTGTCTTGTCACGTACTGAACCTACATATAGAAGATCTGTATCAACACAAAAAAAAGTTAGCTTTATCCATCCGGTTGGTCGAATCATGGCTAGTACTTACATTAGTAACAGGAAAACATGACCAAAGAAATTACTGGAAAGTTGTTATGTGATTTTCAAAAACTTCGTGTATATCCTTAAAGAATAATGATTTAAGGATTTATCACAAAAATTCTATGTTGGTTTAATTTTTTAGAAAAATTTTATTTTTTGAGAACTAAAAATTAGAAAATTGTACAAAAACATATTCAGTTGACAGTTTGTTAGAATTGTTTAATGAAAAATTCAATTGTTTTTTTCTTCTCTCTCTTCAAAGAACTATAAAGCCTGTTATTTGAACATATTTTTTTATTTTTAAAATTCTGAACACTGCTGTTGAAAACAATTCCAAACATGCTCACACAACCTAGTCTGACCCAGGTTCCTGTTAGGAATTATGTCTCAAATTCTTATTATTATTAGTTTCTATTTTAGAGTGTATTTTTTATGGTAATTTTTTATAAAAACGTGAAGTAGGCTCTAAGAAATTGTAATCCTTATCCACAAAGGAATTGGGCATGTGACTCTATAAATAAACACTTAGGCTATTGTTGAGAGTTATGAGTTGAGAGAGATGTAGCCTCATAAGGGAGTACGTTGATGGTGGGAGTGAGTTACAGGTTTGGTAGAGTGAACACTGATGGCGAGAGGGAATCTCACGGTCAAGAGTTTGTGTGCATGGTCCGGTATTGAAATTCTCTATTATTGTAATATCTCTATATATATAATGAATCTCTTCTTATCCATGGAAGAGTCTCCTCTATGGTTTCATCCAAAATATCTACTAGGAAACACTTGTCTTCATCTGTGGGATGTTGACTCATATTGAAAACATTAAGCTTAACCATTATGTTACCAAAAGAAATGTCCATAATGCCGGATCTACAATTAATGGTGGCATTGGCAGTGGCAAGAAATGGTCTTCCTAGGATGACTGGAATGTGATTGGTAAGATTAGGGACTAGCTCAGTATCAAGTACCACAGAATCAACCGGGAAATAAAATTTATTAACCTTAATTAAGATGTCCTCAACAATTCCCCTCGGTTTTTTAATTGATCTATCGGCTAGTTGGATGACTACCGATGTTGGCTTCAAGTCCCCTAATCCTAATTGCAAACAGAGTATGGAATGAGATTAATACTTGCACCTAAATCAAGGAGAGCTCTACGAACCTCTTGGTTTCCAATAACACAAGAAATGGTCGGAGCACCCGGATCCTTGAACTTAGGAGGAATGTTAAACAGAATGATGGAACTCACTTGTTCCGTTAAAAGCACTTTCTTAAAGTCCCTTCCCTTGTTCTTCCTCTTTTAAGTGCACAAGCCCTTCAAGAACTTTGCATATGGTGGAATTTGCCTAACTGCATCTAGAAGAGGAAGATTAATTTTCACTTGTTTAAACACTTCCATCATGTCATGAATTTTTCCTTCTTGTCTCCCAAATAATGAAGTCTCTCTCAAAACTTGAGGAAATGGAGTTTTTGGCTCATAAGGCTTCTCTAATTGGGGAGATGATGATAAAGATGATGGAATGTTCTTTTTGGAACCACTAGCATCCAAAGAAATAGGAATAGGATTTTGAATGGGACGGATGAAATCACTTGGTTGTTTCAGTTCACTATCATCCTTATGTACTTCTACCTTATTGTCTACTTTCCTACCACTCCTCAAAGTAATAATTGCTTGAACTTGCTCATTTCCAGAAAATCCCGATAAAGGACTTGCTTGCGCCATAAATTGCCCCTTAGGAATAGTATCAGTTTGACTAGGCAACTTACCTTTCTCTCTCACATTTAAAGAATTAGCTAATTGCCCAATTTGAGCTTCAAGCTTTGCAATTGACTGAGAGTGAGAATGAAACAATTGATTATCTTTTCGAAGATCACCTAAGGCTTCCAAAACCTTATCTTCAAAAATAAGACTCTTAGGAGACGCTTGATTTGGATTAGAGTAAGATTGAGAATTTGATGCTTAAGAATAAGAGAAGGATTGAGAATTTGATACTTGAGGATGAGAATATTGATTCATATTTTGAGAATAGAATGAAGGACGGTAACCTTAAGAATTCTTATTTTGGAGATGTGGAGGAACATACTTTGCTTGGTAACCTTGAGTTTGAGGAGGGTTTGCACTATCTCCTTAATTTTTTCATGCAAAGTTTGGATAATTCTTCCACCCCGGATTTTAAGTATTAGAATAAGAGTTGCTCCCTTGATGAATGAAAGCAGCATTTACTTATTCTTGAGACTCACTTGGGATGATTTGTCCAAGAAGACAATTTAAACGCCGAAGGGAAACTTCGAGATTTTGATTTATAGGAGTAACAGGACAACTAAGTGATCTACAACCATGCATGCACTAGAATAAGTCAACACACCAACACTTCAATTTTTCAACCTCCATATACGATGTTCCCAAACTCCTCAAAAAATATCAATGCACTAAAACAAATAAAAGTCTCCACACGGGCCGACGCCTTCTACAAGAAGGTATGCTTGGACTTAAAAATAAAACAATTTAATTTAAGCCCACTTGGGCTGTCCAAAGCATGCAAATTGGTAAATAATTAAAGTATTAAAATTAAATAAAACTTACAATGGTCCTTAAGTAACTTCAAAAAAAAATTTTAATTGCTTCTAAGTCCAACGTTTGCTCCACTTTGCTTCAAGTACTTAGTTAACAAATCAAATGAGAAAATTAAAATTAAAATGACTTAAAAGTAAACAATCAACAAAGAATTAATATCTAATTCAATTCTTTTAAAAACCGTTTGATTCCCGGCAATGGCACCAAAACTATGATGCTACCTAGCGTGTGCACAAAATAATGCACAACACTTTAGGTATAGAAATAATATCAAGTGGGCATCATATTTTAAAATTTATAAAATCACTAAACACTTATACTATGAAGTATGAAGCGAGAAGAAATCGTCCCAAGAGATCTAAACAATTATAGATTTTCGAAATTGAATTATACTTTATTATTTAAGTGATTGCTAAAAAGAGGCCGGTTTGTTTTGTGATTAAAACTAATTTTAATTTAAATAATGCAAATAAAGATTAGAGTTTAAAATATTAGGAAAAAGACTCAGGGTGTATGATTCACCACTAAATACATTTCCTAACTCACTAACTTTCAACTAATTGGGGAAATAATAACATGTAATTAAAATGTGGCTAACAATTGCAATGAAAAGTGTAAACCATCAATTTCAAGTATGAATCAACTACCTAATGACAATTAAACTAAGTGTAATGCAATTCACCAATTCAAAGCATGATTCATCAATCCAAGTTACAAATTTAACACACATTAATCTAGAGAATATGCAATTGTGACAATAAGCATGGATTTCAAACAATTGTATGGATTGTCTACTTACCTAATAATAAAATTGTAATTAACTAATTTACCTTAAATTAAACTAATCAAATATGAAATTAAACTATTTAATCTAGACATTAACCTAATTGTGTAGTACAACCCATCTAATATAAGCAATTTCCATCAAATCAGAACACAATTACATCTAATTAATACAATGCATAGCCATCACATGATTCAATTCACAAAGAAATCAAGTGTAAAGATCAATTATCATTCAAAAACATATAAGACAATATGAGATTAACAAAGATAATCAATTGAAAGAATTATTATATATATATATATATATATATATATATATATTAAGGCTATAACAAAAATTATATAAATTAAATCCCTAAAATAGTAAAAGAGAGAAAAGTTAGGTTACATGCTTAGGGTTTATCCAACCCTAAGTAGAAGAATCAGCCACTCTTGACTGATGGAGTTGAAGACAAGACAATCCCTATCATCTGTTTTATCTTCTCTGAGCTTTTTCTTCTTCTCTGCGCTTTTTCTCCAAACCCTAACTTTCTCCTCTTTCGCGTGTTTTTCAGAGAGCGTAATATCGATTACAAAAATAAAACTTAATAAAATAAATAATAAAAACTCCCTATTAAAATAATGAAATTAAAACTAACCCTAAAAAATAATGGTTCACTGGGCTTTAAATAACAAGCCTATTAGAGCCAAATAGGTTACAAAATAAGCGAATCCTGTAACCATTAAAATAAGACAATCCCGTAATTAGTCTGCTGCCAGTAGCATGGCATCCAAACGCAGGTTTTGGCTATTGTCCCGATGTTCTGGCTTCCCTACAATAATGTTATAATTGACTAATTTAAACCCATTTGAACTTTATTGCCCTGAAATACACATAAACATAAATTAGAAATAAAATATAAAAATAAGATAAATATAAAGACTAAATACCCTAACTTAGGTAATGAAATGTGCAACATTTAAGCACTTATCAGGCTAGTTTCACAATCAATAGATATTGTAACTCCGGTCAGAATTTATCCAAATTGGACATATACATTGTAAATGGACTGATTTTACCCCCACGTTGAATTTGAAGCAATAAACCTTGCAGAGGAGCAGGTAGAACGTTGGTTTCGACTTCATCATAAATTTAATCGGATGATGCTGTCGAAATTGTTTTCAGACTTTGGTTCGACCCATGGTGAAATAGGAAGAATTGTGAGGGAAACAACTCCTTTCTTGGACAACAAGTATAGTCAAGATTTGGAATTGTCATTGTGTCCTTTCTTGGACAACAAGTATGATCAAGATTTGAAATTGTCATTGTTGGCACGAGCAATGAGGGAGTACTTTCAGTAGACAATAGAGCCTGTGAGATTTGAACTTGATATTGATGATCATGGTGAGGAGGAGGAAGTACTCTGTGTTATATGTAATGATAAAATTGTCATTAGATCTCGAGTCATTCGGATGCCATGTTCTCATATATACCATATCCAATGCATTGCAGAGTGGCCATTGTGTCACTTCAAGTTGTCAATCAACAAATCTAAGGTATCGTAGTAGTAGCAAATATGGATTTCAGTATTTGGAATTAAACACAAGAACAGAGTGCAATGTCCATTCATAATTGTGATTTACCGACTTCAATGTAAAAGAATTACGGAGTACTATATTTTGCAGTTTTGGTCAATATAGTTACCAGATTATGGATTCGTTTCATTGTTTAATTTGCTCTCTTCAAATGGGCTTTTCGATGGATGGTGATGAGCTGACACGTTTTACTCGTATCAGTTTCGACTAATTTAGTTTGTTTATCTACCAAAAAGATAAAAACCACTTTAGTTTGTTCAATAGTTTTCAAATATTATCTTCTTAAAAATAAAAAGATAAGAGAGAGAGAGAGAAAAGAAGAGGGAGAAAGATAATTGGGGCATCAAATCTTCAAGCTTCATAGAAGTTTGAACAATTGTGACTACTAAAAAATACAATGAATCGACAAAAAGCATGGGATGTGATGCATACAAATAAAAAGTGACAGAAAACGGATCAAATTTCTCTATATTATCGAACAGTGCACAAGAGCTACACATCATTATTTATGAAAATAATTTCATTTTATACTTTAAATTTCACCAATTATACTGGTGAGTTAAAATTGATAAAATTTAACCGTGAAATTCATTATTAAAGTAATAAAGTTTTAAAATAAGTGTGATAAAGCTGCACCACGGGTTTTGATTTAATCTTTTAAAAAAAAAAAATTAAAAACTTAGTAATATGGTATAAAAACAATAACTCAGTGGCGCAAGTAAAGCCCAAAACCTCTTCCTTTCGTCATTACTTGTTTGCTATGACTATTACATGGTGTCTAATACGCACGCTAATATCATTGTCGGTGGTTAACGTAACATGCGAACTATGTGCTTATAACTAATTATTAAAAACAACAAAACATAGAAAGATTCATTTTTGTGATGGAAATTAAATAAGTTTCTTTTTTTTTTTCTTTTTCTTTTCTTTTTTTTCAGTAGCTATGTCAGTGATCTTGCAAGAAATCAATGGAATAGGTCAAAATACAGGTGGTAATATAGATACACTTAGCATGCGAGAGTATCTATATATATATATATATATATAATTTAAGAAATAAGAACTAGGGTTGACAATATATTAATATGTCTTGTAATTTGGGCACGCGTGAATCTCGATCTGTATGTTCATATAATGTTATAGTATTGGTTGACTAAACTCTATCAGATTGTCTTTTGAGATCTTAATAACCATCCAAAATGTCTATCTTAGTTACTATACACCATATATCAACAATAAATAAATTTATACGTTGGCTAATGATTGAAAGACGATAATTAATTCGTTCACATAAAATTTTGTGAGAATTTAAAATAACAAAATGTTCACATAAAATTTTGTGAGAGTTTAAAATAATAAAATCTTGACATCATTGATGTAAAATCATGTTTTAAATAATAAAAGAGGATAATTTTATAAACAAGTAAATCAAATTAACAGAATTGGGGTTCTCATGATCTAAGCAAACATGCTTATGTTAGACCTTGAAACAAGATCATCTATGGGTTGATTCAAATTAAGTACAATGTATAATAATACACCCTAAGACAAAGCGTGACATATATTTGGATTTTTTTTTTTTTTTTTTTGACACCAAACTTAGAATTTTTTTTTTCTTTTTTTGAAACTAAATAAAACACCATATCATTCAAGAAGAAAAAAAATACAGTCGGAGTTAAGAGCGTCCACTCGAAATTAGAACAATTGACTCCAAGAACTTTTTGCTCAAACAAAATGAGCTATATATACTTAGGATCATTCAAGGGAAGCTTGGATGCAATAGAAAAAGTGCTCTGATTTAGGCATATAAAAATTTACAATTTTTTTTAACAATCAAACACAATCTTTTGATAATCACCCCCTTGTCATGTGAGTGGCGGGAATAAATGATCAATTAAATTAAAAACAACATCTGTAACAATTTGCAATAAAAAAGTAAAAGTGTTTTTCAGGTAGGCCATGATTCATTCACTTTATTATAGACAGATGATTTCAATAATCAAAATCCATATCATTAAAACTAATATTCAATCATTACATAGAATTCCGAGTCTCAAAAAGAGATCTAACAGCAGAGCTTGAAACCAACGCAAAGCCAAAATGAGACTCGGACAAAAGCTACGGCCAAACAACTCCTTATTCAAAAGGACTAAAGACACAAAAGACAAATTTTAGTAGTAGGATGCCAAAAGGAACCACGACAAACCGACATAATTACCAAAACAACCCTATGGCCTAAGCTGATGACACACATGGACACACCACCACACCGCCACCCATCTCAGCCTCCTTCTCCGCCATCTCCTTCCAGCAATTCAGAACAGACTTGGGTGAGCCAACTGTGCATCCACTATCCCTCTCACCAGCAGCAAAACTCCGGTACACTACCCACCCTCCACCTGCCACCTCCTGCTTCACCCCAACCTCACATGTGTATCCCTCCACGTCACCAACCCACTCCTCCGCACCACCTCCATAGCACGTGACCGCAACGCTAAACTCAGCTGGGTTGAAACTCTTCAGCGCTCTCTTCACCAATGCCTCGAACCCAATTGAACCAGGGTCAAACCCCATAGCTTCGTAACTCGCATAACTGAACCCATCCTCTGGGGTCACGTGCACAGTAGAGTAAGCTGCACCGTCGATTCCGTTCATAGAGTACCCACACGGATCGAACTCGAAGTCGCATATCACATGACTCGGGATTATGTCAGATATTCCGGACCTTTTGGTCATTTCACCAGACGAGTAATTCCCATCCTTTTTGAAAAACACCGCCGCTTTGTCCCTGTCCAAACCCGTCATGCACATCTCGAGACAAATCACAGCCGTCCCGTCCTTATCAAACGGTGATCTTGGTGGGCCCCGGGAGGCAACATAAATGTGCCAGTTGCGATTCGGCGAGGACGGATTGCCAAGAATAAAGGCATTCCCGCCTGAGGGTAAGTTACCGAAGAAGGTATTCAGGAAATTGACTTCTTCTGAGAAGCTCCGGTGAGGGGCAGGTTGGGAATTCTGGAAAATGAACGTCCCACGCGAGTACTTAACCGAGTTGACAACGAGTGAGAGTGACTCAGCGAGTTTGAGAATCTGTGGGATCGATAAGAGAAGCTTCGTAGTCCCACATGTTTTGAGGATGATTTTGAATGGATACACAAACAGACTCGACTCGGAGAGGACGTATGAGTCAAAGTCGGAATTAGAGAGCTGAGCCACGATGGTGCAACAAGCAGGTTCGAGAATTGAGTCGAGTTGGGAACGAGTCAGGGCTCGGAGGCCCAATCCTTGTGGATCAAAAAATAATGATGGTTCGGAAAAGGTTATTTCAAGGCGCTTTTCGAAGCCCTCGAATCCAATAGGTGAAACAGCCATGGTTTAGAGAATGAACAAGCCTCGAATGGTCGCCAAGAAAATCTAAATCTGAACTCTGTTTGATCACTGAATTCAAAACAAAAAAAGAAGTGCACAATATAAAAGGAAAATTGGGGGGAAATCCTAATCTACTGAGGCCGCATTATCTTCTGAAAACGTATCACGATGGTTTCCTCAAGCACTGCAATTGATCAGAAAACACATATATCAGTATATACAATTGATGCATATATATATATGTGTGTGTATACCTGCATATATATATAGATATATATAGATAATTAATGATTGTGCATTCTTACGTTGGAGTAGGCAGCAGATCGGAACTTCTGGATACCACCGTTGGGGCGAACGTCTTCAATGCTGTAACCAAGGGGGGCTTCGTATTGCAGAGAGCTACGACTACTACTACTGCTAGATTTCTTCTTACCACCTTTGGTCTCCATTACAACATCAACACTCTGCAAAACCACAAAACAGAGATGTCACCACAAACCCACCAGTATTCCAATCTTTTTTACACCAAATTTCATATATATATATATATACACACACATGTATATAATTATTTTTTTGGGTTACAAATATGGATTACTAAGTAAAAGATTTACATCAGGCTCAAAGATACCCCAATCAAAAACCGATAATAACATATGGAATCAACATAGACCCAGTTATATAGTCAAGAATCCAATAATCAAAAAGGCAATCTGTGTAACATAAAGGAAATAAAAGAAAGAAAAACCTTACATGTCCTTGAGAAGAATATGAAAAAAAAGGTTTTCTTAGAACGAACGACGGGCTGGAGAGAGAGAGTAGGACGAGGAACAAGAGAGAGAAACAAGCAAGATGTAAGAGAGAGAGAGAGAGAGAGAGAGAGAGGGGAACAGGAAGAGATGGCGAGGGTTTGTGTGAGAGAATTGGGGGCCAAGGATAATGTATATATAGATGGACAGGGCTAGGGCTAGGGCTAGGGCTGCGTGAGCCACCAAACCATATGAGGGTGCTCTTAGTGAGAATCCAAACCGTGACAATAGTTACTTTTGTCTCTTTTAATAGCTAAGGAATCCACGTGGCAATGTTCTGGCCTCCACTTTCAAAACCTAGGCACGTGTGGGACTGTTTTGAACAACTATGGGCCATTCAAAACGAATCCGGATCCTTTTCTCCGGATCTTTGCCCCACAAACTTTATAATAGGATTATCGATATGATCTTTATCTAAATTAAGTTTGTGTTAATAAAATTTGTGAGTCTAAATCCCGTTATAAAGGGGACAAATCGTAGAAAAAATTTCCCTTCTTTTTAGACCGTACTTGACTTTGGCTGGTGGGCCTTTTTATTTATCAAATTTTAATTTAAATAATTAAATAGTATTAATTATTAAACTTCCAAACTAACCTAATTATAACCATTGAATGCATTTTATCTGGTCCATATAAAGTAATTTAGATTGTTGCCATTGATTCAATTGGAAAACCCCCTTACGTAGTTAGTTTCTATACAATAGTCTCTATAAAATTGTTTAGTATGAAAAGACTGTTGTAATAAGGAGTTTATCCTATATTGAATTTGAATGGAAGTGTAATTAAGTACATATATAAATTTTTAGGTCGAATTGCAAAGCACCCATCCGTTGGTATCAAAGTCAGAGTCAGCCTTTGATCCGGTATCACGCCAAGCGTTCGACCTGAAAGGCATCCGGGTGAGCTTGATTTTTGTGTGTTTAAGGATATCCAAACAAAGCAGATGATTGGTTGTAGTATTAGGCGAGGGAAACTATATTACTTGGACTTGATGTCCAAAAGTTCCGATAAGCTATGACAAGCATTGACAGTGGATGGTTCTGAAGGAGAGGAAAAAAAAATATAAAATCTGGCTGTGGCATCGACGTCTGGGGCATGTTTCATTTGGTTATCTGAAAAAATTATTTCCTAATTTATTTGCAAAATTTGATGTTTCTAGTTTCCGCAGTGATTGTTGTGAACTAACAAAGAGTCACCGTGTTTCGTATCCATTATGTTTGCATAAAAGTCTACTTCCTTTTATGATTATACACTTTGATGTTTGGGATCCGTCCAAAGTTACTACTTTAGGTGGATCCCGTTGGTTTGTTACTTTTATTGATGACTGTACCAAGATAATCTGGTTGTGCTTGATGAAGTCCAAAGGTGAAGTGAACTTATTATTTCAGAAGTTTCATAAAATGGTTGAAACTCAATACAATGCACATGTTTAGGTTCTCTGTAGTGACAATGGTGGAGAATATCAGAGTTTTGACCTTCAGCAGTATTTGGAAGCACATGGAACTATTCATCAAACCACTTGTTCTAATACACCTCAGCAAAACGGGGTTGCAGAGCCAAAAAATCGACACTTATTGGAGGTTATTCGTGCTTCATTGACAGAAGCGCATATATCATTATCATATTGGGGAAAAGCACTTACCTCTGCAGCATATCTAATCAATCAAGTACCTTCCACCTCTATTGCCTTCCGGACACCATTGCAGGCTCTCACTGACGCAATTGTTATCCTAACTGTCCCAAATCTACCTCCTCATGTCTTTGGTTGTGTAGGATTTGTACATTTCCATAAGTATCAATGCAATAAGCTAACTCATCGAGCATTGTAATGTGTTTTTCTCGGATATGCTACTCATCAAAAGGAGTATCGCTGTTATCACCCTCCCACTCATCGAATGTTTATCACAATGGATGTTGTCTTTCATGAAGACTCGATGTACTTTTCCTCTACGTCTGAACTTCAGGGGGAGTACCAGAACGAAATTCAGACTCTAGATTATGATTATCACACTTTTGAGGACAGCGATTCTAGTGTTCAAGACTCACAAGTTGGACCAACCAATCAGGAATCAGGTGAATTGGATTCGAGTGGTATAAGTTTGGATCAAAGTGGTGATGAATGCCCAAAAATGGAAAGTATGGCGCTAACCCCATCGTCGTTCGAGTTCGAGTCCCTCGCAACTTATATATTAAACCAATCGCTTGCTGAGGATGTTCCTGATTTAGTGCTTGAGCCATTCAGAAGACAATTACCACCGCATCACACTAGAGGTATTCATAAATCCACATATGAACCCGAACTTTCTAGTAAAGTTAAGTATCCCATGAGCAATTATGTGTCAAACCATCATTTGTCATAATCAAATTTGTCATTTGTAAATCAATTTTCTACTGTATCTATTCCTAACAGTATGTAGGAAGCCTTACCTGACCCCACCTAGGTGGAAAGCAACTATGAACGAGGAGATGAAATCCTTGCAGAAAAATGGAACTTGGGAACTCATTGATCCTCCACCAGGAAAGAAACTAGTTGGATGTCGATGGATTTTACATTGTGAAGTATAAAATAGATGGCACAATTGGACGTTTTAAAGTAAGATTGGTGGTAAAAGGTTACACCCAACCTATGGAATCGATTACACCAAGACATTCGCACTTGTAGCCAAAATAAACACAGCTCTTGTTTTGTTGTCTTTAGCTGCGAACTTCGATTGGCCATTACAACAATTCGATGTGAAAAATGCCTTTTTGCATGGTGAATTATTTGAAGAAGTCTACATGGATCTCCCACTAGGATGCATGATACCCGAAAAGTATAGTCGGAAGGTCTGTAGGTTAAAAAAATCATTATATGGGTTGAAACAATCTCCAAGAACATGGTTTGGAAGATTCACAAAGTCTATGATAGCCTTTGGCTACCATCAGAGTAATTCAGACCACACGTTATTTCTAAAGAAACAACAGAGTAAGATCAGTGCACTCATTGTATATGTAGATGACATGGTGGTTAGAGCGAATGATTCTGAAAAAATAAAGGCTCTCAAGAACTACTTGTCCAGAGAATTCGAAATGAAAGATCTAGGTCCTTTGAGATATTTTCTTGGGATCGAAGTATCTCGATCTAATAGAGGAATCTTTCTATCTCAAAGAAAATATGCCTTAAATCTATTACAAGAGACTGGCATAACAGCATATCAACCAGCTGAGACACCAGTGGAAGAATGATTGAAGTTATGTGTTGAGTCCAACTAAGTACCTGCTAATAAAGGAAAATTCCAAAGACTTGTAGGGAGATTGATGAACTTAGCATACAAGAGACCAGATCTGCTGGCTTATGCATTGAGCATTGTTAACCAGTTTACGCATGATCATAGAAAGCAACATATGAATGCAGTTATGCACATTTTGAGGTATTTGAAATCTGCTCTTAGAAAATGAATTTTGTTTACTAGAAATGTTGGTTATCAAATATAGCTGCATATACTGATGTTGACTGGGCTGGAGCTATAGATGATAGGCGATCTACTTCTAGTTACTTTACTTTTGTAGGAGGTAATCTTGTTACATGGAGAAGCAAGAAATAAAATGTTGTTGCTCACTCGAGTGCAGAAGCTGAATTCAGAGGTCTGACGCTTGCACTTTGTGAAATATTGTGGTTAAGACTTCTCTTGTGGGATTTGGGTTATCTTCTTGGACAACCTATTCGACTATATTGTGACAATAAAATAGTATGTGATATTGCCTATAATCCAGTTCAACATGATCGTACGAAACATGTTGAAATAAGCAGATTCTTCATTAAGAAAAAGTTGGATGGGAAAATTGTGGAGTTGTCTAAGATTCGATCTAAAGATCAACTAGCCGACATTCTCACTAAAACAGTCTCAAATCAAATGTTTTCAAAAATTTTAGACAAGTTGGGCATGTGTGACGTCTATGCACCAACTTGAGGGGGAGTGTTGAGATTTTATCTCTTATAGTACAGCTGTAGGATTGAATTATTTACTCCTTGATTTAGGGTTAATTGGTTTGTAATTAGTTACCGATTTTAGCTCAACCCTATTCTATAAATTGGATGTAACACCATCAATGAATTATCGAATAAAGTTTTTTAATTCTCATATTCTTTCTCTGAATTTCAAGAGAGCCATTTAGGTAGGCAAGGTGATCTGACCACAAACGAGGGCGTTGTGAGTTCAGGTGAAGGAAAATGTAACAAATGGGAGCTATTCCACATTGGATCCAGATTGGAGAGTGATTGAGTATATATCAGTTATCTATTAGTTCCACCTAATAAGTTAAACTTTTGGCTTTTGAATCAGATCGCGAATCACCTACCTATTACACCGGTGTTAGTTGGCAAATCAAAATAAAAAAATTTTAAATTTTAAATTTTAAATTTAGTGATCAAATCTGAAAAATAAAAATAAATTAAAAAATTACTCTAATTGACTTCAAAGTCCAGAAAAAAGAATAGTCAACAAGTTTAAAACTTTATTGTATTGTACATTTGTTAACAGATATTCCAAACGCCAACTTAAATCCACTCTCCCTGCAAAAACCCACACACACACACACACGTGTAGTTGCTAAACTATCAAAAAATGATGTGTTCCTCCATTTCCATTACCTACTTCCACATCATTATAATGTCAGTTCTTAATTCACACTCATATAAATCTAACTTATCAGGCTTTTAGATTCTAAATCATTATTCTAACCACAATCGTAATCTCAAATGTTTTTCTCCTCCATTGTTGTGCCACCGAGAATGTTTCAAATTGTAATTCGAAGTGATCTTTTGCATCAAACGGAGACCTTCCTTGAAGGAAATTGTTATATATTGATCTTGTAATGATATTCTGACTTCTCAGTTGTCTCAAGAGCTGCAACTCATTCTTTTCGTATGCAAAATTAATGTGATCTCGTTCAAAATCTCATGTGTTCTTTTCTATTTTTATTTTTCTGCCAAAGATTGCGCATAATTTTGATCATCATATAAACCCCATTGCTTCTTCAACTTCTTCATCTTCAATATATTATAATCCAGAAAGTAGTAGTGATATTGCATCTCAA